ACACGACGACAGGCAACCCAATGATGGACACGACGAAGAAGACCATGGAAGCCAGCATTCAACGCAGGACGACGACTTGGAGGCCATGACCTGGTGGGACGTGCTGACGCCGGGCCAACAACGGTCGATGATGAAACGATTCCTTGTGCAACCTCCCACACCAGTGGCAGCAGCCCCGCCACCGGTGGTGCCGGTACCAGTACCGCGACGAGAGAAAAGAAAAAAACTGCTGATTGATGATTTCCACGGCCGAACTGATGAATCAGTGGAAGCTTGGCTGGCGACGATCTCCCAGGAAGTCCAACGGCAGATGGCACTAGGGGGAGACACCTGGACGTCGAGGGAACTTTATTTTGGCGTGACGGCGAAGTTTAAAGGTGCTGCAAGCAAATGGTTCACGGGAATCACCGATGAAATTGGACCGGATGACAGGACGTTGGAATTCATCACGATGCGATTACGACAGAAGTATGGGCGCCGCGAGAACGCTTGGCAGATCCAGGAGCGCTTGAGCGGCCGACCGCAGCAAGGCGGCGAGCGACTCGATGCTTACGCCGATGTCCTGACGAATATCAGCTTTGGGAAGCGCGTAACCGCAGAGACCTTGGTAGAAGCTTTCTTGAACGGCATGAATAATCAAGTAGCAGCAGCACAGGTCCGAGCCATGGGGCCACGGACGCTAGAAGAGGCCGTGCAGGGAGCGGTTCACACGAATGGCGAGTACGGAGAAGGTCGGAAAGTGACCGACTGGCGTGAAGCTAAGAGACTCTACCGTACAACGGGAACCGGCGCGGAAAAGGTTGGCGGCACAACCAGCGTAGAGCCGAAGGCAGACGTAGTGGACGAAATTGACTGGTCTAAGCTGGGGCTCGGATTCGGCGGCAGCGAGGGTGCTGCCCCTGTCTTCGACGACTCAGGAAGAGAAATGAACAGCGTGGTCAGTGCAGGAAGATCGGCGAAGGAGGGAGCTCTACCGCTGGCTGCGTTACAGGCGATTGCAGTTGCGGCAGGCGTTGGACAAGTAGCGGCTGCTCAGAAAGCTGGCCTTCGCCAGATTGCAGCAGGAAAGCTGAAGGTAGCTAAAGCACTAGAGGTCTTAGCAGCGGAAGAGAAGGACGATGTCAATCACAGCAACCAAGGGAACTCAACTCAGGAAACTCGGACACAAGGAACCGACAATACATACCAGGGAGGCCAGTTTGGTAGCAGAGGCAGAAGTGGCTTCAGTTCTGGGAGAGGCTTCCAAGGCGGCAGGTGGAGTAGCTTCGGTAGCGGAAGAGGTGGCTTCAATGGAGGAGGACGAGGTGGTTTCAGGTACCAAGGTAACTCGAACGCTTTGCAGAACTACGGGCCCCAAGGCAGTCGACCAATTGCGCAATTGAAGAAAGAGACTCTGTGCGGATACTGCTACAAACCAGGACACTGGTGGAGAGAATGCGCATTGCGCAGCGCCGATAATGCT